GAAAACTTTTACTTTACCTTTAATAACATTCTTTGTCACAAAACTCAAGAACCAAAGTAATATCAATGCGTCTCGAATGGTAGTCTAGAAGCTATTATCTAACAACTATCGCCTCTGTTCGTCGCCTGATTTCCCTCTCCCTAGTTTGTGAATAATATTTTAAAAATCAATAATTTTGTTTATGTATACAGAGTGTCTTAAAAATTAATGTTTTGAATTTATTTAGAAATATTCCTATTTCTAAATAGGCGGTTCATCTCACTATACAATCTATAATCGCTCTGTATAATCTTTAGGAATTTTACACACCCTGTATACGGTTATCAGGTATGCCATTTTATCCGTAGTTTCTGAAGAATGTCTGTCTATATGTATATATTTACACTGTAATCTCTTTATGACATATTAGTACAGTGTCTATCAAGAAATGGCAGTTTTATCAGATCCCTAATCTATTAAAATTATCTTCGTCTCATTCAATTTAATTGTTGAATCACTTTAATCAGTACCAATCACTAGGTACGACGAAATTTATCTTATATCGAAGGAAAATATTGCAATAAAATAAATACTTTCATATTTTTTTAACTTTCTCGATTTTTATAACAACACTGAATTCAGAGATTTTACTGGGTAGGAGGACTCTTTTTATTTAGTCGTTGGGTCCTATATTTGTTCAAAGCCAGCCACATATGGCGTTGGCAGTACTCCCCGGTGGTCAAGGTCCCCATTCCGGGGTCAGTCAAATTAAATGGATGACTCAGATTGCAGCTGGCGCGGATATACACATATAATTACAGAAACAAGTACCGATAATTCAAATTGAGTTTGGATAATTTAATTATATTTAGGCCAGTCAATCTGGAGGTTGAGGTGGAAGAAATTAGTAACCAACCGATCTCAATGGGAATGTGTAGATAATGATCTCCTATTTAACCCCTCAAAAGTCCCATTCGGTCCCAGTGGGGGAAGTTTGAAAAAAACCGCCGCCATCTTGGATTTTTTCGTTTTTTTCAAATATCTCGGTTTGCATTACTTTTTTTCGAAAAAACTAAAGATATGTTTTTTGTAGAAAATTAAATTTAGAATATTTTACCTTCAATCATTTTTTCTCTGAAATAAATAGTAATAGAGATAGAGCAATTTTTACTATACGTTTTATAAATTTTCCAGTTTTTTTTAAACCAATCAGCTATAATTTTTGTGTTAACAGTATAGTGTTAATATAGATAAACCAAGTATAAATTTAAGCATTAAAACAATTCAAAATAACGTTTAAATATTATTTAGTAAATAAAATTATTGTTAAAAAAATTATTATTAAATTAAAGTTATTAAATAAAATCTGCTATGACGTCATCCTGAGCGTCATTTTCGTCCTCAACTAAAATACAAAAGTTTGTGCAACTACAACTACTACTGTTGATGTGAACATTTGAAACATTTAAAAGCCAGTTTTCTACAAGAGCAATTTTTAGAGCACTGACTCCCTTTGCAATTGCAAAATATCAATTTTAGTAGCACATCTTCTGTTGATTGAATAGGTATGAGATTGCCTTTTTGGTTTTTCTTCCATCCATATTGTAAAGGATCTAACTCGATACCAATCCATTCTGGAATCTAAAAAATACAACTTATAACATTTCCTATAATAGATATATCTTTACAGTTACCTGAAAGTATGTCCTGAGTAAATGGAGTTTTGTTGAGTTCTCAGTTGGAGACAAATTAGCTTAAAATTAAAATTAAAGGTAGTCTTAAGGGCTTGCCTTGATGTAATCCTATTGTATAGAGTGTATCTCAGATGGTTCATTGGTTTAATATAGCTTGGGCAGTGATATACCTTTAAAAGACAATTTAATCCTGACTGAAACAAGTCATCTTTGTTAGGATTTTTTTCTAAAAATACGTCGAGGCATTGACAAAGATTGTCATCTTTTTTCATTACCGACAGGCACATTTTTGACTTGTTTCAGTCAGGATTAAATTATCTTTTAAATATATCACTGCCCAAGCTATATTAAACATATGAACTATCTGAGAATCCCTTAAGACTACCTTCAATCTATCTAATTTGCCTCTGAGAATTCTGCAAAACTCCATTTACTCAGGACATACTTTCAGGTAGCTGTAAAGATATACCTATTATAGGAAATGTTTTAAGTTGTATTTTTTAGATTCAAGAATGGATTGGTAACAATTTAGATCCTTTACAATATGGATGGACGAAAGATAAAAAAGGCAATCTGACACCTATTCAATCAACAGAAGATGTAGCGCCTCCTGACCTACTAAAATTAATTTTTTGTAATTGCAAAGATCAAGAAGTCAGTGTTCTAAAAGTTGTTCTTGTAGGAAACTGGGTTTTGCATGTTCTTCAAAGTGTGGTCATTACTACGGAATCAGTATCACAAGCTTTTGTATTTTAGTTGAAGCTAAAATGACGCTCAGGATGACGTCATAGCAGATTTTATTTAATAACTTTAATTTCATAATAACTTTTTTAACAACAATTTTATTTAATAAATAATATTTAAACGTTATTTTTAATTGTTTTAATGCTTAAATTTATACTTGGTTTATCTATATTAACACTATACTATTAACGCAAAAATTAAAACTGATTGGTTTAAAAAACTGGAAAATTTATAAACCCTATAGAAAAAAATTGCTCTATCTCTATTACTATTTATTTTAGAGGAAAAATGGTTGAATTGATTTATCCAAATGACATTATTTGACAATTATTGATGTAATAATAATATCTAATATACCATCCGGTCTACATAATCATTCCTGAATAACAGATCAAACGACTAGGTAGCTGGCTTTTGTAAAACCAAAAAGTATAAATAGATAAACAACAAACAGGTAAAGGAAATTTGCTATTAGAGGACAGGAAGATAGACTGAAGTAATAAATAAATAAATAAAGCTGCTTTTATTGCTCTGTTTTGATCAGATGAATTGGTATATTCATGCACAATCGAACAAAAACAGATATAGGCGTGTACTTCCGCCCTTAAAGCCTTTCAAATTAATAGTACTATCACAGATAATATATTAGTACTATGTTATCTTAGTTTAATAGAAATAGATTTGTGTGTCTAGAAATGTTCTATCCTTTTTTAACTTTCCTTTAATTAGGGTTAATTTTTAACAAGTTTTAAGTCAACTTTTTGTAAATGACATAAATGGTCATTCCCCAGTGGTCTTTGACGCTGTTTTTTTTTCGACCATACGGTATTTTTAGATATATTTGTGCGTGAGAAGTTCCTTAGTTCTAGGACACCCTGTACAGGGTCTAAGTAAATGAATAAATGTGAAAAAAATCAGGAAGTGATACTTGTTTGCATTCGGTTATACAGAGTGCGCCAAAATCGTTTCTAAATTGACTGTTTTACATTAGAAATTTTTGATTTCAAAAAATTTGTCTTTAGTTATTCATTAATTTGTTTGATGCAATCAAAATTAATTGCTAACCATTATAAGTCAAATAAATTCTTTATTTGCTGTTTTCCATTCTTTTTATGACTAAAAAATCAGTGGTTATTATTTAACAATACCCAATAAATATGCGTGCATTGCGTTGAACTTCAGTATATGTATGTCTCACACAGACTGTCATGAAAGACAGTCATATATACAGAGTCTGTAGGCTATTTAGGGCACACGTGTGCGCCATATGTTCTCCCATTTTGAACAATAAAAACCTATTATACAGTTCCGAAAACAATACTCTCTTGCAATTAGCTTGTTAATGTCAATTTGAGGCTGTCTAAATCACTCAGTTTGGCTTTAATTAAGTTAAATAAAATTAAGAAAATTACCATTGACCTGTCACAATAAATTGTGATGAGAATAAACTACAATTTTAATTTCAACATTACTATATTTTTATTATTTTTTAAATAACATAATTTCCTGATAATATGGTAAGTATGGCAACATGTTAGTAGACTGAATTTATAAGAAAGAAAACCCGAAAAAAATCCAGTGGTTCTCAAAATTTAAGCAAAAATCATTTTTTTTTATTTTCAAAGTAAGTAAATAACTCCCTATAACTTTTTTACTTTTTCAGATAAAAGAACGAGATTTGGTATGTTAATATATGACATAAATTAGGATTGACTGGCATATTTAATTGTTTATTGTCATTTCCTGTTTCAGCGGAAATGACTACAACTTTTGATTTTTAAATGCCACCCTCTGTATATTTCTTCTTTATTCGATAGAAAATGACACTCTGAGTAGAATGACATATCATATGTCAACTTTTTCATATTTATGCTTTAAAAAAATCGTATTTTAAATTTCAATCTAGGGTGTCATGGCTGTGAACTGTGGCATGACTGTGGCTAATTCCAGTTAATCAGCACGGTACCGAATATGTCCATGTTTGGCCACAATGAACTTACAAATCGCGCCCTTGATTACGTAACTAAAAGTTTCATTAATATGAAATATAGTTTTGATATGCTATACATATATTTTTACACGTTTTAAAATTCGAAAAATACGAAATTTTACCACCCCTAAAAATATCTGCACTTATTTAAGGCTCATCCTGGATTTTACGACCATCAGATTCAAATAAAAGTAAAATTTCCGAAAAAAAAAATCACTTTGATTTACCGCGATTTATTCAAATTCAGAGAATTGTATACAAAAATAATAAACGACAAAAAATAATAAAAACGTCGTTTAAATCTTATTGATTTAAGTAGCGTATAGTACCAATTCTTGGTACCTACATCGAACGACCTTGCAAGGTAATCTGGTTCAAGACATTAACATTATTTGGGATTACAAAATACTCGCAAAAACATGGGGGGTTTCACGAATTTAACCCAAATTCCAGCAAGATTAAATACCAAAGGTCTTCTACAGATAACATTACATCTTTTTTTCTGTGAAATATAATATATTTTTTTGTTATTTTTTTACTTGATACAATTTCTGATTCATATTAAGAAAAAAAAGCGGTTCTTGCTTACTTACCTACCAACAAAATTCCATGAAATTCGTTAGATCAATGTCAAGGGAGAACTTCAGATGGTTAGGGGTTGAAAAATATCACTGTAAACACACAAAAACACTTTGAAACACTGTACACATAGAAATGATTATTCAGTAACGTAAAGTTAATTAAAAAACGCCGGTTTATGGAGAAAAATTACGTTTTGAACCGGTTAAAAACTAGGAAAAAAAACTTTAGGTGCAAACGCGGGATATTTAGACCCTTTGGGTTGTTTCCTTTAGGGCAATTGAAGTTGTTTTGAGGAGCAGGAGACCGACCAAGCACAAGGCGGCATCGCGCATTCACAGTGGGGAACGGCCTTAGCGGAAAATCGAATTCATTCGCAAACCATTGGCGTAGGGACTGGGGTTTTATCATAATGTATTATTAAAAAATGCATATTTATTCTTATGGTCCTACAACGGTGCGTTAGGCATCTGTATATACCCCTAATCGCAAAACATTTTCCGATGCACGTCAACGATCATATTGACATTGACACTAAAGTCTATAAACCTGACTAAATGAAATTTTGGCAAAAATGTTTAAATTTGTTGTATACTTTAAGATACTAAGCAGCTGTTCATTTTACTTTATAGAGCACATGATTGTAACAGATATTTTATTTAGATTAAATAAGCTGCAAAAATTAGTTTAAACCGAATTTTATTATCGCTATATTGGTCATATTGCGCCGTGTTCAGCAACGTTGTCGTTTATTATTTGACAATTATCATAATGTCATTATTTTGTATAATATCGTGTGTTGTTGTTAAATCTTTGTAAGTAATTCTCGTTTTAACCTTTTTCTTATAGTCTTTTTTTAAAAATCGTACTTTTGAGCACAAACAGTTCTTTTAAGAACTAAATTTTCGAGTTTTTGTATTGCATTTCTTGAAATTGTGTATTGAAAATATGCCGAAGCATTTAAACTATTTATATATATTGATAATTAATTTATTTTTGTTTTCTAACATATTTTGATGAAAAGAAAATATATAAAACTGGGCAACGCTGTGCTGGTCAAGCTTAACCACGTGTGAATAAAACTCTATTTGGTATGAACTGTACATTGCATGATTACAATTATACATACATGAACTGTACAACCATTAATATATTTGCCTAAAATGATTTCTTCCCGTCTGCTATCACGAATATTCTGCATGTTTCCCCCCCATTCTGAGTTACAATGAACTTCCTTTTTTAACATGTTGTATAAAATTAACAAAAATTATTTCAAAAAAAAATTTGAAATAAAAAATATATTTCAATGGGCTCTTTCACAAAAAATTATATACCCAATTCAAGGATAAAATCTGAAATAGAAGACTATTTTCAGTATATCTATCCAAAAAAAAATAGTTCCATGACATTGAATAACTTTTTTATAGGCCCTCAAAATTGCTTTAATTTGAAATAATTTTAAAGCGCCAATTGATGACGTATGAAAAATACGCCCAATCACATTGCAGAACCGTGCTCGTGCGCCAGCCAACAACTGGCAACATTGCGATTTGATTTGACCAGCACCACCTCAACTCAAGGCCAATCAACATGATATGGGCAAGGCAAATATGGCGGCGAAGGCAGCGCATTATTAAATTGTTTACCTTTAACCTGAAAAGCCGATAGTGGTTTCTCGTTCCGATTGCATACCAGAAATAATTAATTATCTCTAGTTTGTTGTGCTTCTGCAACACGTTTGTTTATTTCTTAGTGTTCAGTGCATGGTGTGATCAGAAAATTGTGATAAAATAACAGTAATAAAAATCCAAACCAGATTGATTCCACATAGGGAACTTCAAACTTTTGTGCTTGTCGTACTCCTCTATTATTAATTATTTTAAGGTAAGAACTAGAAGTATTTATGAAGATATTACACCTAAATGAGTAAAATGCCTTCACCGCCAGTCTGCATAGTACTTTATAATAGTTACTTACAATAATCAAAAGATAGGTATTAACATTTTATTGTAGCATACCTTTTACATGCTCTGTTCCAAATTGTCACGAGAATTATAGAGGGGGTCCCAAGGTTTCTGCTTTTATATTCCCCAAAAATGACGAGCTTCGTAAAAAATAGTTGACAACTATTAAAAAAGATAATTTCACTCCTACTAGTTGTTCTCGGGTAAGAAGTGCATTAAATATGCCTCAAAAAGGCCAAAGGCCAAAGCCTCTGTTACCCTAGTGAGGATGTAGTTATGGCTACTGCTTACACTTACCTCACTATAAGTAAAATATTGGAAGAATAATCAAGCTTTTACATCAAAAAGATCACAGAAAGATATTGACAACATTCACATTTGAAAATATAAATGGCCTGCCTTGATGTAAGTCTTTTTTTAAGTCACAATTGCCCCTCACATACGTCAGAATTTATTATTAAATCCATCTTGTTCAGAATATCCAATATTTTATTGAAGAACTATGCAAAAAAAGTCGTTATAAAAAGGTTATAAAAAGGTATTTATCTAGTTTTTTTCTATATAAAATCTTGAAACACATATTATATTTTTTAGTTATCCTCACCTACTATAGTTTAAATTTATTCCCATTTGTGTAATGCTGCAAAACATAGGAAAAGTATTCCATATTTTTTGACCCAAGCCAGTGTAGTTTATAATTCCAAGAGCATTTACCAAGGCCTTTACTAAGACAAGTAACTTCCTATACTGTCCATATAATAGTATATATTTATTAAACGTGCAGTAAATTCTAAACTATGGTAGATAAGTGTTTGCAAGTGAATATTTAGTTTATATTGCTATTTTCTGTCATATATATATTTCTGGTTATTTCTTTTTCCGATGATTTTGAACACCCTATATATGCTACCTCAAGTTTGAATATTTACACACTAGTACACTACCTATCTATTTTCTGAGAAAGCAGACCTTTTTATAAAAAGTAACTAACTGATGTTTTCATAAAAGTAATAATACAAAAAATTCCATACTTATGTGGAGAGCTTTAGACTCCCTGTATATTATAAAAATTAGTGAAATATTACGTAATCTACCCCCGACATTTGTGTGAAAAATGTCTATTTGGAAATAAAACAGGTTTTAAAATACGCGCCAAATAAAGCACTTCTAACTCCGCCATATTGGAAAAGGTTGAATGGCTTTGTGTGGAGGTGGTGGTGGGTCAGCATGGTGCACCGGCCGTGTTGCCGCTTTTCAACATGCCACGTGTGACGTATTAAAAATAAAGTGCGGATTTTTATTCTGTGCTTTTTTGTTTTTATTTATTTTCTTAAGAACGATTTCAGCTTTTTCGAAAGTGAGATAGCAGAAAATTCTAGAATTAATTGCTTTATTTAATTATGCTAATTCCAAAATATAGAGAAAGACCCCATTATAATATTTTAAGCGTTCCCTCCTTAACGTGCCGCCCATGGTTGAGTAACCCCCTTCGCGTACCATGTTGCGCACGCGTCTCCCGCTTAAATCGATATTTTGTTGTTGATTCGTTTGACAGTCGCCAGCCCGCCTGACTTTTCGCTTTTCGTAGCGAATTTTGTGTGTTCTTTTTGTTGATTTTTGTTAATAGTTTGTTAGTAATTTTTGTTATTAAAACATGGAAGTTGTAGAGGACAAACACGAAGACGAAATGTTTCTAGTTTCATCAGATACAGAATCAGATTATGGTGACGAAAACTATCTCTTTTACGATGAAAATTCCGACACAAGAAAAGAAATCAAAGATCGGTTGAGTGCGTTTGACAGGTAGGTCAAAACTTGTTGCATTTTGCATTAATTACTATATAGTCTAATGCATTTACCAAAATCTACTTATTTAAAATAAGAAAATAAAAGTTTTCTAGCTGTTTAATGTGAATTTAGGTCATTGTATGAGGGTACCCTCATAATCAGAGCGATTGTATTGATCCAAACCTTTTCAGTGATACTGGCGGTATGTCGGAAGTATACCAAGAACGGTTTTTACCAAAACTAAAAGATAAAACCCCGAATTTCCTGACGTGGCTCGTCGATACTGACCTACTCTCTTCCACAGTGAGCTGTCCGAATGCTGAAACCGATCCAAACTGTTCACAATACATGGAGTTTGTATTCGCCTTCGGATTATACGATTCATATCAGTTAAGGTACATTTATTTTTAATGAAATATAATGGAAGAGAATAATAACAAATCTTCTAGATGCAGAAATTGTTTGAGTAAAGAATCTATAAGAAAAAAATCTATTTTTTACGGTGTAAAATGTAACCTGAGAAGTGCAATAAGGATATTGTATGGCTGGGTCAAAGGGGTAGATCTCGAAGTCATGTCCAGTATGTTAGGTAGGATATATCAATAAAGTATAGCTTTAAATAGAGATACTAACCTTATTTATGATTATTTGCTGCTAATAAATCAGATTTTGTAAGGATCAGCCAGGTAAAAGCTATAGATTATTTTATATATCTGTAAAAATATATTTTTTAATGTACATGTGTTCCATTTTCGTTTATTTTATAGGGTTTCTTGAATATACAGGAAAAATCCGTGTACAGTATCTTTAGTTTCATAAAGAAAGTAGCTTTGTACATTTACTCATAAACGAGAAACCCTGTAAACACACCAAAATGGGACATACTGTACTAATCACGATTTTTTTTTCTGTATAGGTTTAGATAGGAATATAATCGGAACCATATATAATAGAGCTGCGAAAATAGCTCTGAGTTGTCTGAGCGTGTCTCCAGAGTTTATAGAGTTTGGTGGAGAGAACTCTGTGGTTTTGGTTGATATTTATCCCAATATGTTACAGTGTCCAAATAAACTAAAAACGTGTAGACCAATATTGTGTATAGCAGAGGCCGAGGTAACAATGAAGGTCGAATGTACAATATAAGTATGTCTGTATATATTTCTAGGAGGTTGTTCATATTTTCTGAAATTTTCTATGTCGCTATCGCCTATTTTATCATATATAATTTATATATGACCATATTATAGTCATCATATATAAAAAATGACATATAAAAATAATATATGATGTTATGACGGGGTGGCGCACCTAATTCACCTCAGTTGAAACATACAGGGTATGTCAGAATTGAGATCCACACCAAAGTCATATTTTTTCTTATGGAAAACCCCGTATTTTATTTCATTTTTGGATCCTTGGCCACAAAATAAAGCATTTATTATAAGGGTTAAATATGTTTAAATGCTTTGGTTTTTGAGATATTTAAAGATATTTAAATATGCATGCTATAATAAAAAAGTCTGTCAACACCCTGTATATTACTTTTCAGAGTTAGTTCTTATGTTGACTTTGAAGCCAGAGAAATAAACTTTACTAAGAAATTTAATTGCTTCCTTAAATGTATACAGGGGTATCAAAAATTGCTGGTTTATCTTAAATAATTTATTTTACATAAAAACTTCGTTATTTTAAATGCAACGCCCTCTATTTTTTAAAATAAATCGAAGCAGATTTCATTGCTTTTTCACACTATATTAAGGTTTCCTATACCTATCAGGCTCAGATTTTCAATGAAGAACAATTTTTCAATAAAATGGCAACTAAGAGGGCTGGTGTCGTCATGGCAAGTTTCTAGTGACAGTTAGTAGCTATTTTCAAAATTCAAATTAAATTATGGACTTTATATGAAAAAAAAAACTAACTTTGGTATGGATATTAGTTCTGAAATGCACTGTATATTTCAGAATAATTTGAAATTGTGCACATTGCCTTCCCACATATATCCATAAAATATTTTGTTTCTACATCTTTCCTTTTTCGTATAATCAACCGAGGCCAGTGTTGTGAGCCACCCTGTATATAATTTATATATGATATTTTTTATATATGATCATCCTATAGTACTTAAATATGATCCTTTATGGTATTTCTCTTTGAATAAGAAGACTAAGGAAGGAGCATATCAAAAATCTTAGGTACACCGCGATGGGCCTCAAATATGGCCGACTTAAATTCCGGTTTATCAGTGTCGTTCTAATTTTATTTAAAAAATGTAAAACTATGATGTAGGGTAGACGTGGGGTAGACTCAATAATTTGTTGTTTTATTAGTCTATTTCACCACCTGATATGGATTCAAATATGGCCGACTTAAATTCCGGTTGATCAGTGTTGTTTTAGTTCTGTTTGGAAATGTAAACTTTGATTTAGGGTAGACGTAAAAGAGTGATTTTGTTTTATTTTATTGTTGTGAACTATTTGTTGATAGTTTTCCAATTGTTATGATAATGTAATTTATAAAATAGATAAAATTATAATAAGTATTTATTAACACAAACATCCGATACGCTACTGAAGCAGGTAAGTCAAATTAACGTATCTAAATTTTTGACATCTAATCTTTGACAAGTAATAAAATAAAAGCTAAATGCAAGAAAAATATATAATTTAGTTAATTTAAGTGAATTTCATAAATGATTGGCTTCACACATATGTATATTATATAGTCACTTACTAGAGAAAAGTTGCTCCATTATTTCACCTCAATTTTTGCCGAGATCTACCTGCACGCCACACAACTCTGTTGATAAATTGCGATGATAGTGTCTGTTAATTTAAGTTCTGCCACAATTTCCAACTAGATTTACTACCTTTATACAACTATCAGTAGTAGAATAAATATTAAATTACATAAAATAAGTCAGTCAACCACTTCCCTTTAAAAAACATTTCAAATCAAATGAAAAACTGTCAAATGAGGTCAAAAGAAGTGTAAATGAATATCCGGGTGAAATAGCTTTTATGGTGAATTTTCCGCCCACCATGCATGAATACATGTTTGGGCTTATGCTCCTTCCTTAGATTAGGGGTTGAAAGGTATTTGTTAAGAAGTATACATGTATATGTTAAACTGCCATTAAACGGTAGCTTACTAAAATGCTGTTATAATAGGTATGACGTCGTTGATGTGACGCATTTGAAGGCTTTATGAAATATAGTAATTTTATAAGGACTAACCAACGCTATCCACCCCACCCAAACCAACTTAACCAACGCAACTAACCTCGACACTAATAAAAATATAAAAAAACAAATATAAATTAGTAAAATCAACAAACAACCCCACCAAATAACCAACTAAACCAATGAATTAACACTCTCCAAATAACCACGCTAACCAACCCACAAATAAATAACTAAACCAATCCAACCAAAAAGTGTGAAACCAATGCAATAAGATCATGCTATAAGCAAAAAAAAATATAAAAGTCTTGGTCGGCGTGAGATTTGAACCACAGACCATCCGCTTACGAAGCGATAGCCTCAGCCACTGACCCACAGGTGCTCTTAGAATTTTAGAATTAGAATGAGTGGGAGGGGGGTTAATCACTTCGACCTTACAGATCCATTGTGTCCCCCTTTCTTGAATCATAACTCATCATACAGTCCCAGGGCTTTGACAAAAGCCAGTATCTGGGACGGTTTTATAGAGGGTAGTTCTCCATCTCCAATATCAGTCGTACCAAAATTCATGGCACGAATGGTTGTCATCTCGGCGCACTCAGTGATGAGGTGTACTGGTGTTTCCCCATCTTCCCCACAGAATCTGCATTCGCCGTTTCTTCTTAGTTTCAATCTACTGAGGTGTTCGTTGAGGAGACAGTGTCCTGTTAAAAACCCCGTGACAATCCGAAGATTGTTCTTACTCAGACCCAGGAAGATCTGTGATTTTTCTTCATCATAAGCCCTCAGAAACTTCTTCGAGTGTCTTAGACCATTGGAAAATTTCCATTCCAGGTTGCGGATGGAATCTTCCAAGTTCTTGAGTTCCGCCTTGAGTTGGTTACCACTTGGAAAGCAGAACGGTTCTGGTTCAGTTAGTGGAGTGTTCGCTGCTTTCCTAGCTAGATTATTTGCTTTTTCATTGCCTTCTATCCCTTGGTGAGCAGGCACCCAGTGTAGGAGGACTTTGTTTTCTTTGCCTAATTTATTCAGCTTCTCTATGCATTCTTTGACCAATTTCGAATTGATTGATACTGAGTTGATCGCCTTTAACGCTGCTTGACTATCAGATAAGATGGCTTTTCTTGTTTCCGATAGTTCCTATCTAAGATAAGTTGTACGCATCTCTCGATAGCGTAGATTTCTGCCTGTAGGATACTAGGGTAAGTGCCCATTGGTTCGGAGTAATTAGCTCTCGGCCCAAACACTCCGATCCCTGTTCCCGTATTGGTTTTGGAAGCATCAGTATACCAAGTTATGGTATGGTCTTTTAACTGCTGGGCAAGCGTTTCGCTCTTCCAATCCTTCTTATTGCTCAATACTACATTGACATGTTTGTCAAAGTTGTACGTTCTTGGCATATCGTCCACTGGGAGTTGCAGGAGTGGTATTTCCTTTTTGAGGGTGTTCCAAGCCCCTGATATGACAATTCTCCCAGTACTAATATAGGTGCTCTTGCAAAAAGCTTAAGGCCAGGCATTACTTACCGCCGACATGAACGACGTCACAATATCTATTAACGGCATTTTAGTAGGCTACCGTTTAACGGCTGTTTAAGTACATCGTTTTATATATGATAATCATGTATCTGATATAGTGTCTATTTTTATTATTTCTATCCAGAAAATTGCAAAAATATAGATATTTAAAATTAAAAAAATTCGACATACCTATATCGTACTAGACCCCAAACATTTTTTTTAAATAATATGTTATTTTTAGAGTTTTCCCCAAAGGTTCTGGCTGCAAGAACTGGATTTCTGGGACCCACAGGATCCGGAACAAATAAGTAAGGTTAGGAAGAAAATAATTTTTGCTATTACGACCCTAGTTCGGCGTGGTTCAACCTTGATCTTACCTAACTATGAATCTATGCCACTGCCCGAGAATATTGAAGTACTTAAAAAGAAATACACTACGATAAGGTTTATGGATGAACTAATGAAATTTGCGTCAGAGCGGAGACCTGTGTATCCGATCTTGGATACAATCTGGAAAAAACCTGTTAGTTTGTGTGAAGAAGCTCAATTTTATAACCCAGGCTATGTGAGTCAATTCCTGATTCGAAATATCTGGAACGAAGCTACTGGGAGAGACAGTTTTATAATGTTAATAATTTTTATTGTGTATGTTACTCGAAGAAAAAATATTGAAGATTATTTATAGGTTAAAAACATTATTTTCCAAAGATGTCTAACTGAAAAGGAGACAAAACTATGTGTATTTTGTCAAACAAAAATCGGTGATGCCAAATTTCTGCGGTTTGCGTTAGATCTACGGCTTGTGTTTGAAAACAACGATGTTATAATTATTGTTATTAATGTTTTTTTGGGTACCTATAGAAACGGCGTACAGTACGTCTATCTGTTCTGTAGCTACGGAGTATCCGTGAGAGGGGAAACGATATTCTCGATGTTTTTCGTAAAAAATTAGACGACGCGTCCCATCAATAAAAATTCGACAAATTTGCAAGTAGCCAATAAAATGAGTGGGCGGAGCGATTTGCGGTGACGTACTCGTCAAGTCGACGTATAAAATAAAAGTTTTTTGTCCGCATTCCTTTCATAGACACAGATCCAGCAGACGTACTTTACTAAATATACATGTAGGTATATCATTTTAATTAAAATACATAGATTAAAGCTTTGAAATTATTTTTAGTTTTCTAATTAAATTAAAATTTATTAGGGAAGTAACTGTGGCAACGCTGCTTCGGGTAGACTGATTTTTTCAACTTATATGTTTAACAGTGTTGCTGCGCGGTGTTTGTGAACTTTTGTGTTTTTCAAGTAATTTTACTGAAAAGTAATTTATAGAAAACTATTTAAATCTTTATAAAAGAGTATACCATTAATTAAATATAACACCATTATTTCCGCCCATATACTAATGAATGACATACTTAATTGTGTTCGTTAATAAATTATTATAAATAAATGTGGATTTTTGAGTCAGTTGTTGTTATAAATAAGCATTTATTAAAAAATGAAATATCATTTTTAAGGTGTTACTTTTTATCACACTGTCTAATGCCCATACAAAATTCGCGTTTAGCTAAAATACTCCGTGTCGTATGTGGTGAACAACCCTGTATATATATATATATATATATATATATATATATATATATATAGTATATATAATAATATTATAAATCAAAATTTAAATTTTAAAAAATTAAAAATGGCACGCCACTTGTAAACCGAAAAGACAGAACAGCGTTGTCATATTTATACACTCATCTCTTTTTAACTTACAAAAAAGTGTTAAAGTATGTATCGTTGTAAACAAATGGTGTTTTATGAATGGAGTATTGTGTCTCTCCTTTAGTTAGATGTCTGTTATTTTCTAAGATACATTTCTTTTTTTTTTTATATGTTATTGTTAGGAAAAGTTGATATTTTTTAAAAAAGCAATATGAACATGGTGCCTTTTTGTGTATAAGGTGTGTTTTGAAATTAATGTTACTTACAGAGAAAATATAGACTGTTATAGGAACAAATTGTTGTATTATACATAAAATTTTCGTATTTTTTATTGAAAATATTACAAAACTGTCAATGTATTCATTATAATAAATAAATCGTTTCTTTTTGGTAAATTATTTTATTTTCTACCAGGAAAATAACTTTGATATTATGTAAAGTTTTTTCTCTAAATGTGTGCAAATATTTTGACCCCAAAGATACAAAAATATTTGTAGTTTCTTTAATTTTTTTCCGTGCATTATAAACCAGAGTTATAAACATAAAACATCCCCCTTTAGAACTTCGTCTATGATGTTAAGAAATGAAAGTAAATAAAGCGCCTCTCGTGTTTGTTCGCACACTAAAAATTTCAATTAATGCCTGTATATATTTTTTTAATTGTAAAGTAATATATTACATTTAAATGGAACATATTACATAACAATAATGTCAATTACAGGATTACAAGCTTGTTTTCTAATATTTTTTAAATAAAACGAATTATAAAATTTCAATATATGTATATTTGTCGTAGGTATGAAAAAAGTAAAATATAAAATGGACAAACGCTTACTTACATTGAATAAAACTTCCACTTTTAGTTTTGCAATCCAAACGCAATATTTCTATTTCACAAATAAAAATATCCCACAACACTAAAATCACTGAAATTTCCGCGGCTGACAACGAAAACTGAAAAATATAACGGCACTTTTTCTTTTGGACCTGCATATCAACATTACGCTGTACTATTATGTTTTTGTTATTGAAATAATATAAAATATCTAATTATAACTTGTAAATTTTAATATTTTAACATGATTTTAACTATTTCTGACAATAACTAACTTTTTGTTATCAAGATGACATTTTAGACGGCAACTGACATATATGTCACAATATTTGAATTTTAAATATGTATATAATATAATTTAAATTAATATAATGCAACTTTATACTAAGAAAATATTTATACATTCACAAGATACAACAAAGTCTAATAATATAGTTTGAAAACAATGAATATTGAAAGTGCGACCTCTTGTGTCAAAATTAGATGCTTAAATTTTCGCAATTTTTACACCATTTGATGACCGGTGGCGCCTCTAGTGTTTGTTCGGGCGGTTGGTCTTTTATTCCTGCCAAAGACTCCTGCTTATGGCCATTAAAGAAAAAGTTCTAAAGGGGGATGTTTGGGATGTTTTGTGATTATAAAAAACTTGCTGCAGGTTTACATTGTTGCCGCTTTGTACATTTCTTCATGGTCAAGTGCATATTTGCCTTTTGTGAACAGTTCACGTGTTTATCAAAAATATTGATATTTTAATTGTTTATTAATTTAGGCGTATAAAACTATTCATTACACGTAAAAACTATTTATTACGCATAAAAAAAACATTTGTTACACGCAAAAAAATGTTTTTATTACTTTTTCAATATTTTAAACTACCGTATGATCGAATAAAAACGGCGTCAGCGATGGCTATGAAATGACAATCGATGACATTTCCCATATAAATTTACATATAAAATGACAGCGATCTTCATTTCATAGCCATCGCTGAGGCCGTATTTATTCGATCATACGGTACTTTTCCAAACATGTGCTTTAAATCATTCAACAGTGTCATTTACAGTTAAATCACGGCATTGATTTGTATGCCGTGGTTAAATGGTATTTAAAGCTTTATTAATCTGTGAAACCTTTGGAAACATGAGATGTAAAGATATTCTTTCTTTATTCTTTTAAGTTAACTAATGTACTTTTATGACAATGTGGCAATATAGGTAGTAAAAAAAACGAAAAAAAAACGTTAACCGGCGGCCTTCATAATCTGTTAAATAATTTTTAATTTATTTGAAAGATAGAATTCTACTACCCACTCCTAAAAAACATGTCCATTTATTTAAGAATCATCCTGTATGTGCAATTAAATCAAAAACTTTTAATAAAAATAAATTGAAATACAACCAGTAAATCACAAAACAATATTGAGAAAAATCATTATGCAACCAATTTAACACTAAATAACGTACAACCTTTGTATTGATTTACGCACGGTTGATTGTCTGCGTTAACATTTTTAATGATAAATATTTAAACATTCCAGAAAATTATCATTTTTTTCCTCTTAATTTCATGTAATTGTCACCACTAACATTTCCGTTTTATGAATCACTTAAAAACTGTATTTTACCTTGATTTTTAAAGACATTTAAAGCAAATATTTTTACACAGGTAAGTGAATTTTTCTCTTATTACTATTCCATTGATTTTAAAGCACTCTGAAAGTTATTAATCGCTTCTCTAACAGTCCTACGTTCCTCGGGAGTCTTTAATTTAACGCACACCTCCTCGAAAGCCTTTTCTTGGTACTGTTTAATAAAACAAAAACATTTTTTAATTGTCGCGCCGATGTATAGTATTCTGACGTTCACGTTTCGCGTTCCTATCTTGTTAATGAAGGGTATACTGCTAGATACGAGCTTGTGAGGTCCGTGTCTCGCCCTGGCGATGGCTATTTTCGTGTATTCGTTGCAATACTTTGCTGTGAAGCCAGCTTGGATCGAAGCCATGCCGAAATCACCATGTAACTGTTCAATTTTATCTTTTATCACTTGCATAATTGCATCAGAGGAGAGTGTGAAATTTGAACTGTCTTTCGGGTCTCTTGGTTCGATTTGTAACACTATATATCTAGAAAGAAAATAGATTCTAACTAATATCCATAGTTTTGAGAATAAAAGAACTTAGAATTAACATACCTATTTTTTAGACGCACCATTTTTCTTTATAAAATTTATAGGTATAATATGCGTTATTTCTATTCCGTTTACTGTATTAAACAAACACGATTTGTTATTATAATGTTTAATTTAATAATAAAAAGATAATAAATAAACAAACTATTCTTAACCTAAAATTTTGCGGAGGTTTTGTTTTGAGATGTGTATTGGTGGTTGCCGCACTCCACATATTTGTTCAATACATATTTGAATTTTTAAAATTCAGGCAGATGAATATTAAAAAAGATAAAAAATCTACAGCATTTTGTAATTTTCTGTTTTCTTGTATATTATTTCTTGAAAATGTCTTGTCTAAAAATGCAATTTGGGACATGTCAGGTTTTCACAAAAAAAAGTTCTTGAATTTAATAAAAATTAAATAATATTGTATCGAAAAAACAAACAAAGGTAAGCAAAGAATAATAATAATACGCATAGCTTTTAACATGAAAATTTAGATTTTCAACTGAACAAATTTTTATGTAACTTAGTAGTTTACATTTAGACACCTGATTTATTCGTCTAGTATTCTGCGATTGGAATATTCGGGTAAAAACATGCCATATATTTTCAAAGAATAAGCCATACCAAATGTACTTGTTCCTTGTACCTCGTATTTCTTACCAAACAGTCATGTAATAATCTTGAATTTTTAATAATCCTATAGTAGGGGGGCTTAAGATTGCCAAATGGGAATTTATTAGAGCGTCAAGGGCACTTTAAGATTAATTCTGATTGGGAACATAAATATGTTCCCCCATTATACAGTGTGAGTCAGAAATAAGTGCAAATATTTTCTGGATTGGCAGATCTTGATAGAAGAAACGTCTAAGGAAGAAACATATGTTCTCTTTACCGTTTTCCAAATAAATCCAAAATAAGCGAGTTATTCATGTTTAAAAATTTAAAAAAAATAAATGATTTATTTTTAAAAAATTTGAGAATCACACTGGATTTTTTCGGGGTTTTGTTTCTTGTAAGTTTGCAGTACATTATATGTGTGTGTTTTTCAGTACATTAACTGAAATTACCGTACAAGTACGGTAATTACCGTACGGTTGGCAACCGTGCTGTTACTGCTTTGTTACAAGTGCTGCGTTTTCCCTTGACACTTTATTTTATTCTTCCACGTCTTTGCTAAGTCCCAAAGTCCCAAAATACCGGCTTAGGCTCACCTACTTTTATTTCTCAATGTAGGACCCCCTTGAGAGTAAAAAAATCGTTATCTTGTCTTATAGATTGCGCAAATTTGAACTAAACATATAATTGATTTTAGTAGATATAGAATGACGTACTTCTATTTACACATAAAGTTTCCATGAAAGATATATGAAAGATATATCGAAATAGTTTGAAAAAATAAAAATAAAGAAAAAATATTATCAGTGATGTGTGTTACTTAATCTTTTTTATTTGCATAATTTTAAACGGAGATTATTATTGATGAGGGTTTTTATTGTTTGTCTTTATCAGAAAACAGCATAGTTTTAGTGCAGACGTATTGGTATAAAGTTTAAACAAAAAATGGTGGAAATTATTGGTTCAGGTGAAAAAATTATTTAACTTTGGCAAATTTAAACATTACATTTCATATTGTACCTATTTAAGTTATATCAATATATTTTTTATTTATTCTATACAGGGTGGTCCGAATTGTATTCGGGAAACTTCGGCAGCATATTCTGCAGATAAAAGTAAGTAAAAAAGTTCGTATGCATTTATGTCCTAAAATGCTTCGTTTCGGAGATACAGAGAGCGTTGAAGTTTCATTTTTATTTCGATTTTTTCTGTATAATTTTTATATATTGCGAACGGTTTTCAAGATATTTGCGTTTAAAGGTTCCGTTGCATCGATTTTAGCATTAGCGAAACCAGGAGATTAATTTATTTAAAATTTCTTTATATTTTATCATTTCACTAATACTATATAAAATCGATGCATGAACCCTCTTGAAACCTCTACACCCTGTATCTTCGATCTTCTGCAATCGTCTTACAACCTTATTTATACGAACTTTATTACAAATTTTTATCTGTCGAATATGCTGCTGAAGTTTCCCGAACACATATAAAATTGATTTTTAGCAAAGGAAGATCAAAAAATGGCCGGTGATTTGAACCAAAAAGTGGAGGAGTGGTTAAGATGGGACAAGAACCCGAAAACCAGGGACGAAATAAAAAAGTTAGCCGACCAAAATCAGACAAAAGACTTGGAAAAAATTCTGATGAAAAGAGTGGCGTTTGGTACAGTTTTTTTTTTATCGTTTTTGTGTATTTTTTATTGATTTTTCGTGCTTTTTGTAGGTACGGCCGGTTTAAGAGGCAAAATGGCCGCGGGATATGCGTGCATGAATGATCTGGTGATAGTACAAACGGCTCAGGGTTTTTTGAAGTACCTAGAACAAAACAGGAGTGCTGCTTTAAAGGCTGAGGGCCTCGTGATAGGGTATGATGGGAGGCATAACAGCAAAAGGTAAAATTATAATTTAAAAAAATGGACTGTATATACAAAAGTGGGGAGAGTGTATATATTATTCAAAATCTGAGCTACATAGGTATAGGAAACCCTAATATAATTTGAACGAGTATTTGAATCTACTTCGATTTATTTTAAAAAATAGAGGGTGTTGCATTTGAAATAACAAAGATTTTATGTAAAACTAGCGAATCGTGATTACTCAATGGTCATATTTTATGAAACACCCTGTATAAATTTATAAAAAAATCTTAAAATATGTAAAATAAGAAAATAAAATATACTTGTTTAAGAGTTTTTCCGAAAAACTCACCGGTTTTTAAATAAAAAATATTTTAATATTTTAGGGATAGTTTCACCACGGCATATAAATCACACGGCAGGCTAACTCTCTTTGGCGGGAACGCTACGCGCATACCGTCGCGCACGCCGCCATTAGGGTTTCCATCAACAGAAAGTAACCAGTGTCGTAGTTTGTTTCATCGACTGCGCACACTTTCGGCTGATTCGAGTCAGTAGCGTACGGATTAATTTATTTTGTTTATTTCTTGAGTTATATTTTATAGTTGTTGTTTTATTTTTGTTTATTGTGTTATATATTTGGGTTTTCTAGTTTATTTTCGTTTCTTGTGTTATATAATTTATTTTGTTTTTCTGAACATTTTTAAATCGTTAATTTTACGTGTTTTTAAAATGCCTGGGCGAGTTGTGCAGCAAAAAACTGCCCGAGTAGAGGACTAAACTGCAATAAAAGTTTCTTTCTGTTTCCTAGAGATCCGATTAGGTATGTATATACATATGTGATTAATTATTTTAACATATTTTAGTTAAAAAACAGTAGTATACATATTAGGACATTCAGCTAAATAGGTAGATCTAATTAAAAATCTTAACAAACTTTAATATTAGTAAGATTTAATGTTAAATATTTAGTAAAATAAAATTTAATGTTGTATCTAGAATCTAGACATTAAAAATTAAATTTAAAAATCATTATATTATGCATTTAAATATAATTATAAAAATAAATAAAATGAGTATATCGAAAATAAGTTAACAATACATTTTTAGGGCAAGAACATGGGCAATTGCAGCTAACGGAGAAGACTTGATTGAAGATATAAATAAGGCCCACAAGTACAGGTTGTGTTCTGTTCACTTTGAATTTAAAATGTTTACCAATTCACTTTGTAACCGTATAAAATACAATGCGGTACCTACTTTGTTTCCTGCCATGAAAAAAATACAAGTTTCTCAAAAAAAATTGTAGATTTATTAATTTGTGAAATTTGAATATTAATAAAATTTGCTACGCCCATTGATGGGCATAATTTGTACGTAGCCTCTTTATATTGTTCAATAAATATTTTATTGGTATTTTTTTAATTCTTGTTTGTAACTCCTGGCATGTTTTTTAATTTTAATTGTCTATTCTCTACAGTGAAATATTTAATTGATTTTTTCATTTTTACTTTTCGAGAAGTATGCGCGGTTAACGATTCATTTGTTTGGACAAAAGTATTGTAAATAAAATTCAGTTTCAGTCAATTACAGTATTTTTTTAATACGACCCTGTCGTATTTTCTGAGAAATTTTTTAATACGTTTTAATCCGGCCCTGACTAGGAAACCATAATGGCGCCGACAAGGTCAAATTTTATAGAAATTTTAAACAATGGAATCTGAGTAGAGTTGGCGTGCCGATTGTTATATGTGCCGTGGTTTCACCCCCTTAGAATTCGAGTTTCGACAAATCCCTTCTTATCGAACCTCTACACCCTAAAGTCAATCTGTTTCCCAAAAATCAGCTTTTTACGTCAAGCGCTTTAAGCAGGATCGTGATTAATCAATGACCAGATTTTTCGAAACACCCTGTATATATTTTTAAAATATCTTAAAGTATGTAAAAAACAAAATAAAATATAGGTGTTTAAGCGTTTTTTTCGGAAACTTGACCGTTTTTTCAATAAAAAATATTGTAATATTTGAGGGGTGGTTTCACCCTCTTGGAACTGGAATTTCGAAAAATCCCTCCTTATCGAACCTCTACACCCTAGAATCAACCTGTATGCCAAAATTGAGCTTCTTACGTTGAGTGGTTTGAGCAGGATCGTGATTAATCAGTATGTCAGTCACTTAAGGATTTTATATATTAGTATAGATAAATATTTAAAAATAGATCACCAATTTTTGATACCCTTGCATAAGTTTACGGATCGAAGCAGTAAAACATTTTAGTAAAGTTTATTTCTCTACCTTTAAACTCAGCACATGAATTAATTCTGAAATGTAACGTACAGGGTGTTGATAATCTAACTACTTGTCAGAAGTTATGTTTACAGTTATACAAATTTACCTAACAAAGAAAAAAATGCTTAACGTTTCGGAAAGTTTATCTCTTTCCGTCGTCGGAAGCAAAAAAGAAAAAAACTATTTAAAATATTTAAATTCAACTATTCGAGAACACTTTACTTACGTTCTGTTAAACATTATATCAAGTTAAACATTATAAATATTTTTTATATTGAATAATGTTTTTCTTTTATTTTAATAATAACAGGTGGGCCCAGTTGACGACTACCATATTTGTTACCGCCGGCTACAAAGTCAGACTGTTTGGAGATTACGCTATAACGCCGTTTATACCGTTTTCTGTCAAAAAATACGGATGCGCAAGCGGTGTTATGGTTACTGCGTCACACAATCCTAAAGATGACAATGGCTATAAGGTAATACTAAATTTGGTAAAATAAGGTTATACAATAATTTTCCCAATCAGCTCGATATATTGATGATGTTGCCAGTATTACTCATCAAGCAATACTACTGTTATATTAATCAATTTAGGCCGCGTCAACAAACATAACATACAATTTTATATTATACTAATTCATTATAATAAAATTAAATAATAAACAAAGTGTTATTGTATTCCTGCAGATTGAGTGAAAAGTTTTGTTCTTAAATATCTACTCTACATATTGTCAAGGTCAAGGTGTATTACTGGTTGCATAACTGCATTACTGCTACATAACCGCAACGTGCATAGAGGAAATTGGCGAATTCGCCAGAAATTAAAAGAAAATTACAGAATTCTTTAGAACGTTCCAGAAACAATCGCCAGGGGGTATATAAAGCCCGCGCTTTGGCAGTTGGCAGTTGAAGTTTGATTATACCGCGTTTGTGAAATACCGTTAGAGTAATAGTAGTTGCATAAATTGTGTTGTAAGTTGTGAGTTTAAATTAGTGGACCCACGGAATCCGTAACAATATTATAAATGCGTGTTCAAATATAAATCTTGCGGAATATACACTATCGGACAAAAGTAGAGCAACAAAGTTCATTTTTATTCATGTTTGAATAAAAAAAAATTATGTTGTGATTTTCGACTATGTTTACTAACACACTATCCTTACACTAAAAGTAATATTTTACAAACTTTTGGTGTACTTTTAATCGGTTTAAAAATGGTAAATAATAATGATTATAAAAATTGATGAGAATGGGGGCGACCAAAGTAGAGCAACAAATTGTATTCAACAGATTTTATTGTGTCTTATTTCAACAACAAATATTTAACACATTTAAGAACAATAATAATTGAAAGTAATACATTAGTAATTGATAGAATATCCAATATTACTAATAACTTGCTGACAACGGCGCGGCATTGAAGCAATCAACTTCTGAATGATATTTTCGGGAAGATTTGTCAAAACTTCATTAATTTTATCTATCAAGAATTGTTTATTTGGAAACATTTGGGTGCGAATATGACGTTCTACTTCTTCCCAGAGATTTTCAATGGGGTTAAGGTCTGGAGATTGTGCTGGCCATTGCAAAACTCGAACGTCATTTTCCCTAAACCACTGTTGAACAACTTGTGAAGAGTGCTTTGGATCGTTGTCCTGTTGGAATTCCATAAGCATTCTGCATAAGGAAGCATAACATTCTGCATGATATCCCTTTAAACAACTCGGTCCATCGTGTCATTAATAAAGTATATAGGATATAGGGCCTATATATCCCATTCAATGAGAAACAATCTTATAAAAATACACTGCCTTTACCGTGTTTAATTGTAGGTGTTCCGTATTTAGGATTAAACCTTGTATTGATTGATCGCCTCACACGTCTCATTCCATCAGAATTGAATATTTTGTAGTGCGTTTCGTCACTGAACAGAACTTTTTTCCAGCCATTGACGGTCCAGTTTAAATGTCGACCTTAGAATGCCAACCTTGTTGTTCTATTTCTTTCCGAAACTAACGGCTTTTTAGCTGGACGTCTACTAAATAACTTTGCATCTTTGTACTGTTCGTATACCAACCGTAATTTCTGGAATTTCGGCAATAATTCTAGATGCGGACTTCCAAGGATCATTTTGAGCAATTCTTTTGATGCGTCTGACGGTCATTACTGTTGTTTTCTTTGGTCTTCCCGATTTTGGCAACTTTTCTAAGTGTCCCCTGTCATTATACGATGAAATTATTTTAGATACACTGTACCGGGGTAACAAAAACTGTCTTGAAATATCGGCTTGTTTGTTACCTTCCATGAATGCATTTGCTGCAAGTCTTTTGAAATTGGAATACCTCTTGGCATGACTAATCCAGCATAGAAATGTTTAAAAAAACATAAAATAAACCTCGCACAATTATTTTGGCCTTTACTTTTGCTAAAACTCTTCTTTGGAATGAATTATGTTGCTCTACTTTTTATGCGTTACTATTAAGCATTTGAAAGTAAATGTCAAAATAAATTCATTTGTTTTGTTAGTAAAAATTCTTGCTGTCATGGATACTTATAGCCTACTTCGTAGTTTTTAAATTTATTGTATTTGTATACATTATCATGCATGTATGTATAATTAAAAAATCGCGATTTGCAAATATTTCTCGAAGTGTTGCTCTACTTTTGTCCAATAGTGTATATCAACATAAAACAAGATATAATTAACGAAATATTATCGTAACAACAGTTATTTTAGAAACGTCTAGGTTTACTTGTTTCACTGAGATTTTTGGAAAAAAGTCCTTTGCCTCGGGTACAGATACCGCCACGTTTTAGAAATAGCTCAAAACGAAACAAAAATGAACGAGGCAACAGGAAACGCAAAAAAATCCCCAATTGTTAGTGTAGAGGCTTTTTGAGCCTACTGTCCTTGTTGAGAGAGTTCTCTTCACCCCTCTTGTTTCTGAGATCGCTTGACCACCTTGTGTATTATTGTGTGTAAATATTTAATTGATTTAAAATAATTTAAGTGTCTTAATTGAAGGTTTACGACTGCAACGGAGCTCAAATTGTCCCTCCCTGCGACAGAATGATCCAGAACAGCATTTTGGAAAACCTGGAACCCAAAGACTCTTCCTGGAAAGTAGAAATCTTGCAAAATCACCCTCTAGTTATTGATCCGATGAAAGACGCTTTGGACAGCTACTTAAAAACGGTTATTCAGGACATGATTCATCCAGACTACATAGAATGTAACAAGAAAGTCGGTTTGACGTTTACCTACACTCCGCTACACGGCACGGGGTATATGCCCGTGGAAAAAGTCGTTCAGGTGGTTGGGATCAAGATCGCGACAGTTCCCGAACAGAAGGATCCTGATCCAGATTTTCCAACAGTCAAGTAAGATATTTGAGATTTTACTAGGTAATCTTACTTAGGGTGTATTCCGTTGCTTATCTTGGTTATGGTTTTATGTTCCGTTTCTATTGGTTTCCTGAAAGCTTTCTTATTACGGAACACGGTTCCTGAAAAATTCGGTTATAACTTTGGTTATAACTGTCTAATAGAATTATCGTTTTTTAATAATAATTAAAAAAAACATAAAATTATAAAGCTAGGATAGTATACGGTTTTATATTAACTCAATTTTTTTTAAGTTTATAAAAAGCAGGGTTGGCATGATTTAAATCAAGTGATTTTTTTAATTTTAATCATGTGATTTAAATAAAAAAAATGATTTTATTGAAATTTTATTATAAATCAAAAAATAACTGTAAAAGTTATAAAAATGTGTCCCAGAAAACTATAAAAAATATTTCTATAACAGATATAACAGATAATAAATCGAAAAATGATTGTAAATGATATAAAACTATATAAGAATATACTATTCATCAATTTAATTGTTGGACAGATGTTTGAACTAATTTCGTGTGAATCCATTAGACTGCTAAACGCAGGGATTTATTTTAAAATTTATGTGACAAAAATTCACTGTTCGAATACATATCATTCGCAAAGACTAGTGCAGAACTAGGTTCTTATAATATAGAGACTATATCTTCATTCCCGAGAATCTATAATCGTTGTCAGAAAATATGTTGTTTTATATTTTTTTTTGAAACGGTTTATGTTTCCAAATTCCTACCGACATTTTGATCTGCAGTAAGTACTTTACACTTTGACATTAGATAATACATACTAATTTCATTCTCGACTTAAGACTATTTCCAAACAATAGTGTATTATTTTATTAGGAGTAAAAATTATACTTTTTTGACGATGTTGTACCTTTGAAGGACCATCCTAAACCTTTTCCGACGTTACAGCGAGGCACAAAAAGTACATTTTTACTCCGAATAGAACATATTAGTTTTTTTAAACATTGCAAAAAATAATTTTTTAATTAATTCCAAACATTGCAAATATTATAAACAGTAATCGAGCAACAATTTTTTTGGAATATATAAATTCTCGCGAACCTACCATAAAATTTACTTTAGAAGTAGAGAGAGGTAATCGTTTGCCATTTCTTGATGTTTTAGTGTCAAAATTTCAAAATAAACTAATTTTATATGTTTACAGAAAACCCACAAACACAGATAGATACTTAAATTTCACATCTAATCACAGTATAAGTGTAAAAAAGGTGTTATAAAAAGTTTATATGATAGGGCAAACATAATATGTACAGACGACATTTCACTAAACAAAGATTTAAACAACATAAAAAATACATTAATAAAAAACGACTATCCACCATATTTTATTGACAAAACATTAAACGAAATACAAACCCCAAATCATACACAAGATAACAATACACAATATATACAACTTACAATTCCATACATACGAGGCGTTTACAAACATCTTTCAAAACACAAAATACACTTAGATCAATTTTATCACATACTAAACCAATGAATACAGAACAACAAACAAAAAATGTAATATACCAAATACCCTGCGAATGCGATAAATTTTACATTGGTGAAACATCTAGACCCTTAAATGTTAGAATTAAAGAACATAAAAATTATTTAAGAAAGGGAGATTTTCACAAATCTAAGATTTGTCAGCATTCATGGGACACAGGGCACAGAATAAATTCTAATAACGCCAAAATTATAATGAAAGCTATAGCCTCTAACAGAAAAATAAAAGAGGCTTTTTTAATTCAATCTAATAAAAATAAATGTATTGCTCATGCATCTGTAGATGTTAGTAATGTATGGCAATCGCTTCTATGATTTTAAAGAACATTACATAAATAAACATAACATACGTGAAATTTAAAAATAATCATACAGAAAGTTTGGGCTTTTGGTTTTACCTTATTAAGTAATTATCAGGTAGTAATTGTTAATTTTGAAGTTTAACTTAATATAATGTCATTTTAACAGAACGTCAACGATTTCTTGTAGACGTATCTGTTTTAAAAGTAAAGTGTTCTCGAATAGTTCAATTTAAATATTTTAAATAGTTTTTTCTTGATTCTTTATATTTTTTGCTTCCGACGACGGAAAGAGGAAACTTTCCGAATCGTTAAGCATTTTTTCTTTGTTAGGCAATTTTTTATTACTGTAAACACAACTTCTGACAAGCAGCGTCCGTTTAGGTTTAACGCCAGAAGTGTTTACAAAAAATAACTATTTTATTTTGTAGATTTTTCTTGCAGTGCAGTGGCGAAAAACCCATAAGGATTTTTTTGGATAGATGAATCCGCCACATAGGTATAGACATTTTTAACAATTTGTACACTCGTTGAATTTGACACTTAATAATCAGTTTAATAATATATTTTTGTACTTTTGTGCTTTAGGCGTAACAGTGCTTCACTTTTATGCCTAGGCGTAAAATGACCAAAATTAATAGGTACTTTTGAGACGTTTTGACCTGAAGCGAACGACTTTTTTTGCGGAATATATTGGTGACCGATGTGGAAAAATCACAACGCCCTGTAGAATTGTTAATATTATCGGTATCGGGGTATAGATTTAGCCATTTAGGATAGGACTTTAATTGGTAATAAGTCCTAGTCATTTTGAAATCCGACTTAAATAATGTTTTGAATTAAAATCAAAAAAATCTGATTTTTTTGATTTTTTTAAAAAAATTATGATTTTTTCCAACCCTGATAAAAAGCATGCATAAAAAAATATATATCCTTCAAATCCTTGAATTTAATAGCTGTTAGTAAGAAGTTTTACTTCAAATATTACTTCGATAGTGCACACACATTTTTTTTATTAATTACATTTTTTTACTACTTAGATTTCCCAACCCAGAAGAAGGCAAGAGCAGTTTGGACCTGTCCTTCAAACATGCAGCACTGAATAACTCATCTGTCATTTTAGCCAATGATCCTGACGCTGACAGGTTTGCTGTGGCCGAAAAAAACAACAAGCAAGCACAAAAATCCATTTTTTCTGTATATTAATAATAATTTCCGTTATTGTTTAGGACTGGCGACTGGAAAATATTCACTGGAAACGAACTGGGCGCCCTCTTTGGTTACTGGACCTTCCAGACTTACAAAAAATTCAAACCGAACGCTCCCGTGAATAAAGTGTACATGATTGCCAGCACTGTCAGCTCGATGATACTGAAAACTATGGCCAAGCGAGAAGGATTTAATTTTGTCGACACTCTGACAGGATTCAAATGGATTGGTAAGAACCTTCGAATAAAAAAATGGCCGTGCATGGCCGACGGAAAGAGGACTCTAGGGTGGGGACAGATATCTTTGACAGTTCTGTTTGACGATTCGTTTGGCACATTTGAATTTGATTTGACATTTTGTGGATTTGTCAGTCTTTACTGAGCTTATTTTTTTATGTTATTTATTATTTATTCTACTACTGATAGTTGTATAAAGGTAGTAAATCTAGATTGAAATTGTGGCAGAACTTAAATTAACAGTGACACTGCTGCGATTTATCGAAAAAGACTGTAAAATAGTTGGTTGTGTAGCGTGCGGTAGATCTCGGTCAAAAATCGAGGGAAATAATGAAATAACTTTGCGCTAGTAAGTGACTATACCGTGCTGGCAACTGTTACTTTTGGGTCGGCATTTACATGTGTGGAAGTAAATCGCATAGGGATCTTATTGAGTAAGAGAAATGCGACCGACCGACGCAACGCGCGACGGAGTGCTGTTGCGGCGTTGCCGATACGCCTTTCCCTATCAAGTAAAGTAAAATCACGATCGCAAACCGCTTATTATTAAAATACTTTTTTTTCAAGAGATAACTAGATAAAATCATAGACATGTTTCTGAGCATCTGAAATGGAATTATAAGGATATCGTTAAGGTGTCATTTTTTTTGTAACTGGAAAACGTCAGTAATCGCGATAATTTAAACTAAAACTCAATTTTTAACACATAACAGGCTATAACTCAAGAACCACTTTAGTTATTGAAACTTTTTTTTATTTTTAAGATCGGATATTTTACAATATGTTTACATAAGAAAAATTCGATAAGGTTGTTTTTTCCATTCAAAAATTGTAAACAATCCATCCATTTACTTTTAGGGCATAGCAATTTTCAGCAATCGTGTAATTTTTTTAATGATAAAGATTTTCGCATACTGTCTACAAAGAAAATACAGCAGAAATATTAACAAAGTTCTTGAAAAAACTACAATCTATTATTACTGTTGAAGGTTGGAACCTTTGGTGTTACACAGCAAACTAAACACTAAATAACCACAATACACCAAAACACTTTTACTTTTACACTGGACGCGCGTTTTGCTAACCATGTTAGCATCATCAGCAGATGATTATAATTATAATCAGCGCTTAGCGAAACGCGTGTCCAGTGTAAATTTACAATCTATTATTTCTAATAGATTTCGAGATATCGATTTTTGAATTCAGAGTTCTAATAGCGCCACCACTATCGAACACCCACTCAATTCCACTTATTTTTACCAAAAATGCCAGTGTTTCTAGCTTGCACTTAAAAAATTCAAGCTATAGATTGTTAATAAATAAAGAAATCAAGTGTCACGAGACGTAATTAAATCGTGAAGCTGAACGCATGACGTACACCTTTCCCTAGAACTTTAAGTACTGACAGAGGTATTGATTGGGTCGACCGGTCAACTGCGACAAATCTGCTCTATCCCCTTCCACGTCTCTTAGCGATGTATGCAGTTTCTCGGTTTATTTCATACGTTTGGCAACGTGTTTACTGTTCTTTCTTTGTTCAGTACATTATAAACGCATAGTACCCTTGTTACATACGGAAATCTCAACCCAAGACTAACCTTTGCCAGGCCCTTAGTATAATATACATACGTTACTACACGTATGTATATTATACTTAATATAATATTATACACCGATCATTTATGAAATTCACTTAAAATCAACTAATTATATATTTTTTCTTGCACTTTTGCTTTTATTTACTACTCGTCAAAGATTAGATGTTAAAGAATTTAGATACGTCAATTTGACTTACCTGCTTCAGTAGCGTATCGAATGTTTGTATATTAATAAATAATTATTATTACTTACTTATTTTTATTAGAATTGTATATTTTTTTATTCTTAATCTAAGTGTATATTTTTATAACAATTTTAATAACTACCAACATTTATTGACAACGTAAAATAAAACAACAAACTATTTAGTGTACCCTACATCATATTTTTATACGTTTTGAATAAAATTAGAACGGCACTGATAATCGGAATTTAAGTCGGCCATTTTAGAGTCTCTTAGATAGATACGACCTTAATATGTCTGTGGGCTTAAATGGTTTTAACGTAAAAATTAGGAAAAAATATTAGTGTTTTCTTTAAAAACGAATATCTCCATCAAAAATAAAGCTATTGAGACAAACCAAGAAACAAACTATGGAGGAAGGATGTACCTAGACAATAAAATTATTTTTAAATTCCTTGCTGCCTTATTATATTCTACAGGGTGTTTCAAACTTTCAACAAAATATCAACATTTTGTTTTTCCTCGTATAATTGACAGATGGGAAGTTTCGTTTTTAATTTAGAAAGAATTATTAAAAAGCCAAATAATTTAGCTACATATTGCTTAAAAAGTCGTCGAAATCGGCTCACTAGAATAAAATATATTAAACTTTAAAATTTTTCGTATAATTTATTATTTTCAATAAAAGCTCTGATATGTGTATTTTATCAAAATTCAGGTAATAAAGCTTTGCAACTGGAAAAAGAAGGTTTCGACATCATTTTATGCTTTGAGGAAGCTATCGGCTTCATGTGCAACAGCAAAGTAACCGACAAGGATGGCGTTTCTGCCTTGGCTCTCTTTTCCTGTCTAGTTTCACAGCTTTATGGCAACGGACAACAGATTGTGGACAAACTGACCGAAATCTACGATTACTACGGATTCCACATGTCGAACAATTCGTACTACTTTTGTCACGAACCTCCGAAGATCAAGGCGATCTTTAAAAGGATCAGAAATTTTGGAGGAAAGGATACAGTAAGTGACTATGTTACCTAGATTAAAAATTTTTCCAGAAATAAGTGAGAGTATATTAAGGGGTGGCAGATCTGGCCAAAAGAAACCTATTGGAATCGCAAAACATCTTCCGATGCACGTCATCAAAATCATATCGACATTGACCTGACTAAATGAAGTTTTGGCAAAAATGTTAAATTTGTTGTATAATTTAAGATACTGAGCAGCTCTTCATTTTACTTTATAGAGCAAATGATTGTAACAGACATTTTATTTAGATTAAAGCTTACAGTTGAGGGTTGGAACCTTTGGTGTTACACAGCAAAATAAAAACACTAAATCACCACAATACACCAAAACACTTTTACTTTTACACTGGACGCGCGTTTCGCTAACCAGGTTAGCATCATCTAGGCAAAATCTAGCCAACCGAGTCAGAGCCCACTGAGCGTAAGAATTAGATTTCCGCCACTAGAGTAGTAGGAACAAAGAACTTGAAGGAATTGGACCGTTCATACTATCTTTACATTTATTAATTCTGATGCTTTCATATGCATCTAATTGCCTGTAATTTGACAACGCAAGATTTATCCAGTCTACCATATCTTATCTGAGCTAAATGTTCTTTAAATCTAGTTAATATTGATTTTCTACTTTGCCCAACATATTTCTGATTACAATCTTTACAAGAAATTTCATAAATACCCTACCTTTCCAGTGGAGGTGTTTTATCCTTTGGATTACCTAATAATTGTTGTAATTTATTAATAGCACTTTACACAAGTTTATAATTGACATTCTTAAAAATTCCTTTAGACCACGGGATTACCCTCTATCAAACGGTATCGAAAAATATTTAGACGTATCTTTCTCCACTTGAAAAGTCGAATTTTCAGAAATCATTAAGCTATACCTACGTTTTCTAATTAATTGATCAACTAGTGAAGGAGAATATCGATTACACTCAGCTACATTCCTAATGTAATCTCTTTCTATTTCATATCTTTCGTTGGAAAGTGGGAAACTAAGTAATCTATGAACTAAGAAATTTAAACTTAACTTAAACATTTTCTTTCAGTATCCTTCGGGAATTCTCAACAACAAATACAAAATCGTATCGATCCGAGATCTGACAACGGGGTACGACAACAGTCAACCTGGCAACAGGGCGATTTTGCCAGTGTCGTGCCAATCGGAAATGATCACGTTTGTTTTTGACAATGGCCTCTTTATCACCTTGAGAACCAGCGGTACCGAACCTAAGGTTAAGTATTATTCCGAACTGTGTATGAGTCCCGATGTTAAGTAAGTATTATTTTACTTTTTATTCACTTCCTAGCTACAGTTCATACCCAATAAGGTTATTAAATTAAACAGGTTGCCTCGTAACTTGACATTAACCGCCATATTGCGCGTCATCGTGTGGTACTCAGCAGTTTTCAGCTTGTTTACAAATAATTTTACATTGTTATTAAGTTATTACCGTGTATTAAGTGCATTTGAGTGTATTATAGGACAGATTTAGTAGATATACTATATTTTTTAAAGTTTTAGTTTTTTTATCGTATTATAATTGATGAACTAGATAGTTTTTTAAAATTATTTATCAAATTTCCCTTAGAAATGGAGATCATTAATTAATATAATTAATAATATCGTATAACAAATTATTTATTTTTAATTATATTATACAGGGTGGTCCGAACTGTATTCCGGAAACTTCAGTAGCATATTCTGCAGTCAAAAAGAAGTAAAAAAACTTCTTATAAGTGTATGTCCTAAAATGCTTAGTTTCGGAGATACAGGGTGTAGAAGTTTCATTTTTATTTCGATTTTTTCCAAATAATTTCCAAAGTAACGTCGTCAATATTTGGATGAAAATTGGTGTCTGATAGTTTTTTGACATGAGAAATTTGATTTTGATGTCATTATGACTCCTATTTGTAGAAGGCGCCACCTACATGTGTCTTAACTGTTTTGAAGGGTAATAACTTTTTGTCCGTACCTGTATAGAACTGCTGAGTGAAAAATATACATTTTCGTATTTTTTTACGTAAAAAATGTCTCTTGGTAAAAATCGTTACGAGCAACCCTTCTCGAGATAAATTTTTACTTTTTAAAATTAATCATAAAAAGTTCTTCGAAAAAATGATGATTAATGATGATTTGGCACAAAAACATTTCAAATTTATGATTTCCGTCTAGTAACTATTTAGTCAACATGTTTAATTTATGTCAATGATGACAGGTATTGATAATTTCGATTTCAAATATCTCGAGAACTATTACTCGTAGCGATTTTTATTAAGAGATCTTTTTTACATTATAAACGTCCTAAATGTATATTTTTTTACTTAGTAGTTTTATACAGGTACGGACGAAAAGTTATTACTCTTTAAACTAGTTAAAAATATGTAGGTGGCGCCCTCTACAAGTAGGAATCATATTGACATCAAAATCGAATTTCTCATATCAAAAAACTCCCAGACACCAAATTTCATCCAAATATTGACGTTACTTCATAAATTATTTGGAAATAATCGAAATAAAAATAAAACTTCTACACCCTGTATCTCCGAAACTAAGCATTTTAGGACATACATTTATAAGAACTTTTTCACTTATTTTTATCTGCAGAATATGAAGTTTCCGGAATACAGTTCGGACCACCCTGTATATTCTTTAAATTAAAAGTATTTTTTTTGAATACAAATATTGCTTGAAAATGTTAAATGTCAGCAAAATTAGAGAAAAATAAATAAAGACTTTATAGAAAAACAATTTAACTTGTGTAATTATTATTATTATTAAACATTTTGTTAATAGTTATTTTAAATATCACGCTAGCTGAAGTCATCGCGCCAACTACTTTGATTAATCCACAGTTACAAAGGCAACCTGTTTAATATAATAGCCTTGGTTCATACCAAATAAACCTTTAGTCACATGATTATGCTTGACCGTCACAGCGTTGCTCATTTTTATATATTTTCTTTTAATCAATTTTTTTAGGAAACAAAAATTAATTAATTATAAATATATAAACAATTATTATTATTTACATCAACAAAACTCACCTTCTTAACAGCACTTGAGGGACATAAAGGGCCATTACTACCTCTTTCCCTTTCAAAATATTCTAATAAAGTTGCGATGAGTTTTTTACGGCTATTTTAAGCTATCTTGTAGCGTTTCGCACTAAAAGAGGTTCTAAAAAGAACAACGTTCGGCTCCAAGGTCTGCTAGTAAAAAATTTTAAGCTTAAAGTATCACAACACTATTTATTTAAACCAAAGACTCGTAATACAACACTAAAGTGTCAAAACTAATGACAGGTAATGACAGTGTCAGGAAATAAATAAACAAATGTGGCAACTTGACATTTTTTACAGCAGAGCTACCACCTGAATCCCCAGCGCAAAATTTAAATTCCAGTTAGTCAGCACGGCGCCGACTATGTCCATCGTTGGCAACAATGAATTTAAAAATCGCGCCCTCGATTACGTAACTAAAAGTTTAATTGATATCAAATACCGGGTGTTGCATCGTCGAGCGGGACATAGGAAATCCCATGTAAATTTTAATGGGGTCAATTATTGGCTTCCCTAATTATTTTAGAGAATAATTCTATTTAGGTTTATTGAAGAGCACTAAAACCCCCATTTCAAAAGAATAACTTTAGATATTTTTAATTAACCCGTTTACGAGTTATCGCCGATTTCTTTTTAAATATTTTTCCTTTCTTATGGCCTTGTATTTACTTATGAGCACCAGTCAAGGTAGAAGATAACTGTCAAATGAAGTTGTCATTTCAGAAATTTATCTATTTTGTGCTTTATTATTATTATTAAAAACTCATACCTACATCGAAAATATTAGCCATGAATTCCACAATCGAAGAAAAAGTATTGATGATTAAATGGTATTATCAAGGAAATAGTTATCAAAAGGTGTCGGACATGTTTGCTGCTCTGTATCCGAATAGACCGATACCTGGAAAATCTACAATCGCAAGGAATATCCAGAGATTTGAGACCAAAGGTACCCTAATAAATAACTGCAGATGTGAAGCAAGGCAAGAACAAAGAGAAGATGCAAGAAATGATACAGACTTGGAAGTTTTATTGTGCATGGAAGAGAACGATGGAAAGATCAGCACAAGGAAACTTCAGGATGAAATAGGAATAGATCACACTACAGCGTTTCGAATTTTGAAACGACATAAATACTATTTCTTCAAATATGAAAAGCACCAAGAGCTACGAGATGGGGACGAAATACGGCGGCAGGCGTTTTCTTTTCATATGATGGAAAGAGCAAACACGGATAGGGAATTTTTAAAAAACATGTTTCACTGACGAATGCACGTTTACCTTAAATAATGAACCCAATGTTCACACAAGTTTGTCGAAACAAGGACGTAATATCCACAGAAAGTAAACGTTTGGGCAGGAATATTCTCACACAATATTATCGGGTCATTATTTCTTACGCGAAATTTAAATGCAGAATATTATTTGGAACTACTCGAAAATCATATTTTACCTGCTTTACATGACGCCGTTAGGGAAAATCAGGAAGTTTGGTACCAAATGGATGGCTGCCCGGCACATAGTACCCTGACTGTTAGGGAATATTTAGACAATAGTTTTAACGGAAAGGTTATTGGCCAAAATCATACAGTAAATTGGCCAGTAAGGTCTCCTGATATTTCGCGAAATGATTTCTTTCTCTGGGGCCATTTAAAAAACAGGATATACAAGGATAACAAATACCCAAATCTAGACGAGTTAAAAAATGCTATTTCTGCCGAATGCAATAGAATTTCAGTTTAAGTTATTGAATATTGTAATAATACCATAATTAACCTTGTAATTGATTTACTTTATTATTTTACTTTAATTCATATTAATTTGTATTTATATATACATCTTTAAGATTTCCGTTGTAGGAATGAGTTTTCAATAATAATAAAGCACTAAACAAAGAATATACCTAGCTAGAAAAAGAATGGATTCTGCCATACTGAAAAATGGTCCTACAGAAGTGGCGCCATCTATTGAGTAGGGCTTGTTTTAAATGGATCAAAGCGCGGGCTTTTTAAATGAGCGTATTTATTGAATTTTGCTCTAAAATAATTAAATTTGATTATTAAATCTTGTTTTTTACACAAATTCAACAATACTAATAACAAGTAGCGTTGTGATGTGTAAAAAATAAGATTTAACAGTATAATTTATACAATTATTAAATAAAATTAAACCTAAACATGTGTAAATATTATTTATTATTTTAAGTTTTAAGTAAAATATTTAAACATCGTTTATTATAATAAATCAAGACCAACGTAATACGCCCAAAGTTTTGTAAATGGAGTAAATATAAATAGGTACTTAATTGATGGCAAAAATAAAAGACTTACATTATATTTTTAGGGCCACAAACAAAAAACCGGAATTGTCTAATAAAAACACATATAACAAATTATAGTTTGAAAAACGTTTTGATAATCATTTTTGATGATTGGCGCTATGGAGAATTTGACAATAGTTTGACAATGACCATCGTGGAAACTATGAAAACTACAAAAATACTGATTGAACGCCATCTGGCAATAACTAGTAACAACTTCTTTTACCTAAAATTAATTGCACTACCACCTAGCGCCCGAGGCTGGAACCATTTTTATTTGAAATTTCCGTGGAAACGATGGAACCGTTTTTGCTATTTCACTTTCCCCTGGCACTAAATACGTAAATTTCTGAAATGACAACTTCATTTGACAGTTATCTTTTACCTTGACTGGTGCTCATAAGTAAATACAGGGCCATAAGAAAGGAGAAATATTTAAAAAGAAAATCGGCGATAACTCGTAAACGAGCTAATCAAAAATATATAAAGTTATTGTTTTGAATGTCGGTTTTAGTGCTCTTCAATTAACCTAAATAGAATTGTTCTCTAAAATAATTAGGGCAGCCAATAATTGACACCATTAAAATTTACATAGGATGTCGTATGTCCCGTCCGACGATGCAACACCCGGTATATATTCAAAGCTTTTACATTATACCTTTTTAAATTTGCCATTATCCTCTTCCTATCAAAAAATAAATTATTTCCTACAAAAGTTTATGATTTATTTTCTGTTTTTAGAGACAAAGAAGTAGTCGAATCGACGTTAAACGAAATGGTCTCGGCCATATGCCAGGAGTTCTTTGAGCCAGACAAGAACGGGCTTATTCCACAAACACGTTAAAGAAAACACGAAAACGGCGGCATTCCACTTTTTATATGATCTGAACTAATTTATTCTACACACTAAATTCTACGATGTTCCTTGTAATTTATTAACTATTAAATTATTCGTATCTTTAAGCACTTTTATTGTTAGTATTTAATACACTCCGATGCAAAAAAACGTTATATTTTTGTTATGTTTAATCCTATTTTCATGAATTGTTTAACAAACTATATACAGGGTGTCCCACTTAAGATGGATACAAGCCAATATCTTGATTGTTTGTTGAGCGATCTTTTTCATTTTAGGCAGGAGGCTGTATGGCTATAAGACGTACATTTCGCCCAGGGTAAGAAATGCGATACCTCATAGACGTACGTTTTAATGGGGTTTGATATGCAACCAAAAATGAAAAAGGTCGCCCAACAAACAACCAAGATATTGGCTTGTATAATTGTTTTGAATAAAATAAAACAACTTGGATTTTTTGGGGCATTTGACTTTTTTTGTTTATTATTCATAATAACAACACATATATAGTAACATATATATTTTGGTGAACAAATAATTATTTTAGTAATGGGATTTTCCGTTTACAATGTTTTTCCATCATCTCGTCGATCGCATATGTACAAAATACAGGGCGTTCTATTTTTTTCGGTAGCTTTTCGAAGTGAAATAGATATTTACCCTGTATATTATTATGTCAGGGTGAGTCTTTTTTATTTGAAAAACATGACGTTATTATACAGGGTCATCATAAAAAAAACAAATCTAAAGAAACTACAAATGAGATTAAAACATTTTTCTTCGCAAGTATCACCCTGTATACCGTTACGTGACTTTTACCCTTAATGAACGAGCTACTGTAATAGAACACCCTGTATATAACAGTAAGGATATAAACAGCACAGTAAAAAACGCTTGAGTGGTAAAAAAATCGCCAAAAACTTAATTAAACAAAAAACATATTTTTTTTTAATATTCGACATATTCTTGAACATTGTTATGAGTAAGTATATAAATTTTTTAATACAATTGCACAGTTTTAGCACATTTTTTTTCGATCATTAACGTAAACTGTCAAAATAAAAAGAACTCAAAAATACACGAAGAAAAAATTAGTAAGTTATTCCTTATTTCAATTTTACTTGCTTTAAAATTCTCTTGAGCTCATTATATTTTTAAGTTTACATTAATTCACGTTTAACAAAATATAATATAACAAAAAAAACAACAGGTATGAGTTATAAGCCTGGTTGTAGTAAATAATGCTATTTTTCTCTACTTAAACCCTAGGTATACATAATCACAGATCTAAAAAATTTTACTAATAATTAATATAAGTGCCATCATCCAAAAAACAAACATAATATTACAATAATTCATTTTACTTAAAAAAAGTAAAATATTTTGTACACGACACAGTTTCAGTGAAAATCTGAAAATTGTATCAACGTGGCAACGTCGATTTTCCAGACGTCAGTTCCAGTGGCGTACAAGATAATTTATATTTTTTTTAAGAAAAATATCCGATGACTTTTTAATAAATATATAATTTATACAGCGCTTTAAATAAAACAAATAAATATAACAATTAAAGATACTTCAATAAGTATTTTCTTTATATATACACACTTACAATCAATTAATTGGTTATATACATTTAAACTTTTAATTATTGAGACGTTTTAGGTATTTTTTTCTATACATTAAGTGTCTTTTTTCACGTATTCCGTTTTTTTTTCCTGACCACGCTATATATGTTATGTTATTTAAATCTTTTACAATCTAGGGTATTTACAGAGATCACAATTAAGTATTACGTACAAACGTTAATTGTATTATTATTATTATTACCTTACATATTAAAGGTTGCAATGTACGGGAAAGATTTAACATTTAACTTTTTTTCTTTAGTTCTAAAAGGGTTGGTTTTTATGTTTCATTTAAATTCATCAGGGTATTATTATAGTCTTTTTAGTTCAAAGTGGACAGCAATGTACTTGCAGAGTTCTGTAATGTCTGATAAAGTAATAAACAAAAATTATTAATTATACAGTTATAAGTAATTTAGCAGGGGTAGAATAGTTAACGACATTAGAGGTTATACACAAGAGGTTTTTTACAAAAAAAGCGAACATTTTACTTTTTTCATTAAATTTTTCTGGAAAAAAATTAACTCTCCTGAAAGTTCTACACGGTGTATCGAGACATTCCCATGTTACCACCTCCTACGTTACCTATATTTTGAATATTTGTGTGTTTATAGCTTTATTCAGAACCTCGCAATTAGTGGAATAGATTAGTGGTTTCAATTAACACTTTATACTTTTTAGTTTACGATCATTCACAAAGTTTAAAAATCACATCAAATTTAATAGAATATCCTAGCAACAGGTTGCGTTAGTTAGTTGTATCCATAGAGAAAGCCTAATATAGTAAACGCCACGAATGTTTGGGAGTAATTTATCGCTTGATGAAGTTAAAATCGACACGCGGGCTATCATTTTTACATTAAAAACGTAAATTTTTACCGCAGACGTAGGTTTTTAAAGGCCCGGTCTAATCATCTGCCTGCGCTCCTCCTACTTATTCTAAAATGTTAGCGTGATTGACAAAGACGATACTATATCGCGTTTCTTTGATTGATTCGTTTTTTTGCGCCAGTCCATTGGTGTGCTTGCAGTGCGACCAATGGGGCATTCCATTTTATATTTATAACCAAATATATGTTTTGACAAGACTTTGACAGTTAAAACAACAAATTACAACAGATTATATATTGATTATTATATGACTTGAAACACCACGGCACTGGAATTAAGTTTTATGTGACCTTGAACAGATTAGTTCACATGGTAGCGACCGATGAATCGCTCCCAAAAATTCGTGGCGTTTACTATATTTAGCTTATAAAACAATAAAATTATGGTTTCTCACCACAATTTCTCTTGACGGAAGATAATCAAAGGCCAAAATGACATTTCTCGCAAATTTTGAATTATAATTAGTGGAAAAGTTAAAAGTTTGACAACTTTTCCTACTAATTGAAAATTACCACCACTAATTTTGACGTCCTGCTTACATTTATTGAAATTAAAGGAACAAGTTATTTGTCCTTGTATTCTTTAGTCATTGGATTTGTGGTTTATACAGGCACTTCTCAAAATGTAAGCATTACTTTTTAAAAATTTTAAAGCTGAACAACTCGGTTATTTTTAATTTATTTAAAGAATAGTAAACAGCCAAGAAAATTTATTGTTATACCACACTTTTAAATAAGAACAATAAAAGTCTAAAATCAACCATTTATTAATAAATAAAATCAACTGTAAAACTTGTATTTGAGCATAGAAAATTTACGCAACTAACAATACACTCTCGTTTAACTAGTTGCCAACATATCAACATCATTCCATGATGTTGATAATAATACTCTGATATTTAACTAGTTGCCTATAAACAAACAAACCCTCATCGTTATCAGACATTAGAGCGAGACTCTTCGAACTAAAGGCGTCTTCACATCAATATACCAAGTCGAATAATAACTGTGTACGTTATTTCACCTTATCCTACGTTAAAATCGTTTAAATCGGAGTAGGCAGTACCGTGAAGTCCTGCAACGCGCACTTGACAGTCTCGTACAGGGGCCGGTTCTCATCAGTGCAGTACCCCTCGGGCGTGCACAGGGTCTGCAGCTTGCTCAGGTAGGAATCGAAGTTCTCCTGGCCGATTTTCTCCTGCTGGGTTGCCACGCCTCCCCCGGGCAGGCGCACGTGCTCCAGGAGAGTGATGACGTTGTTGCGCAGACTCTCGTAGTACTCGTTGAGGTTGGAGCTGCGCTGCGTCAGCGCCTGCGTTTCCTGGTGGATCAAAGAGTGGGGAGATGTTAGAGGAGTCCTAACTGGTGTGTGCGCAAGCGCTGTGCAAGCGAGATATGATATGGAGTTAGGTACGACATTTCTTGAACTTCTCTTTCAAAATTTGGAAGTAATGGCACAAAAAGTGATAATTCTGTTAAATAGAGTATGGTTGAGGATCATTATTATAGAGATTGAAATTCGTTTTATTCTAAAACAAAGCAAAATTCCACAAAAAAGCAGCTCTGTACTCAGAATCGAATTACAGAGTATAATAATTAAATGAGATAATAATATTAGGGTTTTAATATATTTTGTATTTAAAATTATGTTATATATAATTAAAATTTATGAAATAGGATTCAAGTTGTTTTCGTCTAAATATAATAAAATTTTGACATATATAATTAGTTTTTTGGATAGGAAAATATGGGGTATTTTTATTAAAGCGTAAATTATTCAATATGCTTATGCTCATAGCTGACTAAACTTTGATCATTCTTTAATCTGCCTGGCCTCGATCCTCGATTTGGCACTTTGTAAAATGACTGAAACCAGACAGTTTTTTTTGTAGAAGTGTACAGAAAATATCATTATTGTTTAATATGCCTAATTCCGATTAGGCTTTTTGCAAAGTGACTGAAAATAGATAGGGCTTTTTGTAACAGTACGGTTCTCGCAGGTTTCCTTACCAAGCGATAGCCATGCGCATAACGTTTTCCTGTTGCTCAGAGCTACCACCAGTTTTATACCCCTCTTGGGAAATAGTGGAAATATTAACTATACAAGGTGTCCCAGAAATAAGTGCAAGTATTTTACGGGGTGGTAGATCTCGATAAAAGAAAAATATTTTCTCTTTATCGTTTTTCAAATAAGTCCAAAATAACGGAGTTATTTTACTTTGAAAATTTCCAAAAAAAAATTATTTTTTGCTGAAATTTTGAGTACCACTGGATCTTTTCTGGATTTTCTTTCTTGTAAATTTAATCTACTACGTATGTTGCCATTTTATCAAGAAATTATGTTTTTAACTAAAAACAAAAACAATTCTAAAAAAATTTTCAAAAAATTCCGAATTTTCAAAAAGATTTTGAAAATTTAAAAATGGGACACCTTGTATAGTATTGAACCATCCAGTGGCAATATTACTACATTGTATTATATACCTTTATACAGGGTTGTTCACCACATACGACACGGAGTATTGTAGCTAAACGATGAGATTTTTACAAATTGTAAGTTTTGGGTTCGATGAAGGACTATTAGAGGTACAATTTAAAAATAATTTTTCAAGATACAGAGTGTCCCAAATGATAAAAGTATCAAAGTTGTATTTTTTAAATTGGAACACCTATGTATATTATTACATTTTTTAGTTTCTACGACCTTATACAAGAGTGTCTAAAAATTTATTTTAAATAATTATTAGCTTCAAACGGCAATAACTTGTTTAATTTAAAATGGAACCACCCTGTATATTTTACGAGAATCAGATGCACAATTTAATTGTCATCAAATTATATTATACCATTTTTACCAATCTCTTTAGGTTTCCGTAGAAATGCATTTTTCTTCTTGTAATTTAGACTTATTTATCAATGTACCCATGGACTAATGACATTTTGATTATTTTTTAAAAATTAAGTTTTGTACCAAATTTTTTTAAAGAGTGATACAGATACTAATATTGTCGATATAATTCGTTTTATTCATTAAAATAAAAAAAACTGTTTAAATATTTGTTAAAGAGGGACCAATTAATATGATTCCAATTATTCAAACTACATTAACTGACTGTTTGCATTAATTAATAATAGTGCTCCAATATCTAAAAACTGAATTTTGTATGGGCATTAGACAGTGTGATAAAAGTAACACCTTAAAATGATATTTCATTTTTTAATAGAAATGCTTATTTATAACAACAAGAGACTTTAATTTGATAACTTATTATTATATTTGATTTCTGACTCAAAATCCACATTTATTTATAATAATTTATTAACGAACAATTAAACAATAAGCTAATTAATTGGTATATGGGCGGAAATAGTAGTTATTTATATTTAATTAATGGTATACTCTTTTTATAAGATTTAAATAGTTTTCTTTTTGCACACAAATGGGCTAGTAATATTATCGTTTTTACTAAAAACTAAAAAAAAAAAAAAAAAAAATACATTTTAATACATTTATTTGCTTACAAAACAATCTAAAAGATGTCAATATTCCATGGATATATTGATAAATGGGGATCTAAATTATAAAGAAAATGCATTTTCTACGTAATGTATATACTATATTGTAGGGATAGGTAAAAATGTATCTAATTTGATTAAGAATTCATTGTGCATCTATTCCTCTAAAAACTAACACAGGACATTCCATTAAATTAGAGATTATTATGGACTAATAATAATGTTAAAATAATTCACAGACATCTATATAAGACTCAATCAATGACTTTATTATTGCATGCAATAACTGATCAATGAAATGAAACTGCATTAAAATATTTAGTGCAGTAAAACATTTGATACCCCTTGGAAATGAAGCTTCAAAAATTTTTACTGCAGAACACAAAATTGAAAATTTTTCAAAACCGGTAGGGTTTAAGTGTATAATAAACCTTAATCAAGTCTACCTTTATTTTAGTCGTAGAAACTAAAAATGTAATATTATGCAGGGTGTTTCCATTTAAAAATACAACTTTGAGTATTTTTATTTATTAAGGACATTCTATATCTTAATAAAAATATTATTTTTTTTTTTTTAAATAATAAGAGGTATATTAAACATATGGTATAAAAATCATCGTTAACTAATATCATGTGATATTTAACTCCATACTCAGTCGAAAAATCAACACCCTCCTGTACATTGTAACTACTTACTTTTTCGCCTTGGGTGAGATGGCTCTCCATCGCATTGATGTCAGACTTCAGTTTGAGCATTTGCGACTCGACTCGGGCGTTTTCGCGCTGCAGTTCGGATATTTCCGCCTCGAGAGTCATGAGGTCCTCCCCTCCGCCGTTCGGATTGGTTGGCTCCATACCTATAAAAATACGTCTACCAAAATGAGCGATTAGATTAATTACGAATTATTATAAAAGAATTAAACAAAAAAAAACGAGATTTTTTTAATCTTTTGCCCAATGTGTGTTAAGTAAAAAAAATATATTTTTTTCTAGTTTTTTTTTTTTTTTTTTTTTTTGTATTGTATTTTCTATTTTTCAGATAAAAAAACGAGATTTGGTATGTTAGTATAATATGACATAAATTAGGATTGATTGACGTATTCAGTTGTTTCGGTCACTTCCTGTTTCACCGGAAATTAATACAACTTTTGATTTTTGACAATCGATTGTAATTTTAGCGAGGTCAATCTTAAGACGGCATATATACTAAAAATTGACATAAAACATAAAAAAATGGAATTTTAAACTATACCATTTAAAAATCATTTTTATTCAATATAAAAATAAATTACAACCTTCCTAAGGCCATCTCAGGCGGTAAGCGCCGTTAAAAATAAAGAAAGGGGGTACACGTCCTAGGGCCTGACCTCATAAAATTATCATCGATTGTCATTTTCACAGCCGTCTTTGACGCCGTTTTTTTTTCGATCGTACGGTATAGAATACCTATGTTGGATGAAACTGTCGCACAAATATAACGTTATTACTTAGGATCAATGTGTTCCATTCGCTTTTCACAAAATGACTGGTTTCGAAGTTTTGTTTATCTATTACAACTAAGATAAGATAAATGAGAATTTGATTTTTTTGTAAACAATTTTATTATCACTAGGTCGCTTTAAGTAGCTTTCAATTAGGAGATGTGCTTAAATAAGTCTAAAAACTGATCTACTAAATACAGATTTACCAAATATACTTAAAATTTCATTTAAATCCCTAAATTATAGCTTTTAAGGTCATTTCAAAATTTCAAGTAAAAATAACAAATAAGATAAAGTATACAGGGTCTGGCAATAGTGCGTCGGGCATCTGTAGCCCGTAGAATAAAAAACTCGGGAATTTTGTTTAAGTGTAAACCTAAAGTATGTACAAGGATGTATTTCAGAAAAATAATATTTTGCTTGCTACTATAGAGATTGGCTCAAAGTTTGAGACTGGATCGGGATAATTTTTAAATGGAACACCTGTATATTATTGTATTTTTTGGTTTCCTTTCAGATCACTTTACATAATCCCAAGTAGCAAATTACATTTTATAAAGTTTATTTTAAACAGCTATGTAATATAATTTTATGGGATACCTCAATTCATATAACGTGCTATATGACCGTAATATGATAATTTTACAACCAAAAAAGGCCCATTTTATACAACCGTTTAGTAGTATAGAAGTTCTATAAAAGGGGTATACAACTCTTATGCAACTATTTTACCCAGCGGCATTGAAGCTATTATAAAACTAGTTTTAATGTGTATTACGTGGTCACATCTAAGAAACAGAACAATAAAACATTTGATCATTGGCGAGGTACAAGAATATTTTATTTTTTACCGAAAGATAGTAGGGAGCAAATTATATTTTACCCCAACGATATATTAAAATGAATCTAGAAGGGATGTGGATTGTTAAAAGGAGACTTTACTCGAAAATGAAAATGGCGGGTAGAACCAGAAGGTACAACAAATAATATAAAAAAAAAAAAAAAAAAAATCATTAATAGGGTTTGAAGAAAGAGTAGGGACAATTTTGTTTTTCAGAAAATTTACTGGTAGATTATAGGTATGTATTTGGCAAAAGAATTAAAGAGCCTTTAATTTCGATTAAAGGTTTACATATAAATTTAAACAATAAAATAAGAAATAAAATTTAAAAAAAAAAAATTCTTGTTTTTAATTTAAATAAAAAAAAAACTTTATTACTGTATGTGGGAATCTTTTCACAAAATAGTTCTCAAAAATAACATTTTTACAATGTATTTTGATGTTTTTAATTTGCTTCATATAATGGCGGCCATAGGACATAAAAAGTTCTGCCTTAAACATGGCGAATTATAATACAACCATTTTATTATAAATGAATCCCTTAAATAAGTCTTTGTTGTAAAATAAAACGGTTATGGGATAAATATTTATCATTACGCAAAATTTCCAGGCACTATAGAACTATTTTGGACATGTTGAGATTTGTGACAAATAAATGTTGCCAAATCTCATTTGATTAATATTTAAACTGACAAACATGATCAGATTTACATGGATGCAATACGTAGCACGCA